CATGTCCTCCCGTGAGGATTAACAAAAATATTATTTAAGAATATTCAATTTTTCAGAATCTTCAGTAATTTAGAATTCCTTTTCCCCTATTTCAGTTATTATGAATTAATGAGTTTTGTCTTTTTTCAACTTCTCATGAATAAATATGGCCAACCTGGGGAATCAAAATAACTTCAAAAGTCTTCTTTTCATGTCATGAGTCAACTATTTTGAAATATATTTAAGACTCAGTGAAAATAATTTGTAAATACTTTGTTTTGTGATGAGATACAGAAAACATCACCTGATAGAAAAACAAAACTCTATTATAAATGAAGTCAGTTAAATAATATTATGATGTGATAAAGTTATTGACTCAAACTTTTAAAGACCAACTTGATTTTGTTTCAATTATACAAAATAAAGAGTAAGAAAAATATCAACGACTAATCCTTTTCTCAATCTCTTTTTCTAGGATACCCATACTTCTCTAAAAATTTGTCTTATCTGCACTAAATTCAGAAGTCCTTGTTTCTTTTTTTGTTTAAAATATAACTATAACTTTTGTGGTTTAAAGCACAAAAGAAATTGCTAATCTTTACAAAGTAAGCTTCAAGATTAAACTCTAGAACAAGAAGAAAGCATAACTGAGGCATTAATTTATCTTTTCCTGGTATTGCAGCCAGAGAAGTGTTATCCTTTTCACCTGCTCAGGCTTTAGACTCAGCACCAGAGTATCAGCAAGAAGAGGCCCCAGGAGAGAAAAACACTCACACCCAGACTTCCTTAAATGATAGAGGAACCATGGTGAAATCAGAAGCTTGAACCCACAGCCCCTTTTTACTCTAGCAGTGCACAGACCTTTGCAGTTTGTGTTGATGTGGGTGTGGAAAACCAATAAAAACAAAAAACAGAATAAGAGCTTTGGGGGTGTTTCCTGTACTCACCCACAATAGTCACATTGCAGTTTAACGTGATGATGAGGAACCCAAGCAAGTCCAAACGGTCCATGCTTCCAGAATGTTGAAGACTCAAGGCTGCTGGGGACGTCAGAAGCTTGTTGTCTCCAAGGAGGTGGGAAATCTTTGGAGAAACAAATGTATGTTAGCCACAAAAGAGTTAAAAATGAAAGCTGTAAATATGAAAGGAAAAATTTGAGCCCAGGAACAAGAGGTCAGTTTTTCTGTCTCTGTTGAGACACCCGCGAGCTGTTTGCCTCTAAGGCAAAGTGTTCCTGACAACTGCAGGGACCAGAAGGCAGCACGAGTCATCTCTCATGTGGGCTATTCTTACCCTCTTGGGACATTCCAGGCCCTTAGTAGTGCTCACATGTCCCCACCAGGAGAGACAGAGGCTTTAGGATATACAATAGAAGTGACTACACTTTAACCCAAGAAAGAAAAGTTCTGTTAACTAGCCAAGTAAATTCTCTATGAAAAAATGTGTTTTCTCCTTGAAAACATTTCCACACCATCTCACTTGTTAAAGAAACACTAAAATGTTCATGTTTTGTCTTCTCTAAGAGAAGCATAACCCATTATAATCCGAAAGGCTCTTGTCCTCATTCTCAATTCCTGGCAAGGTTGGGGAACATCCAGCCCAAGAAATCATTTGATGTGGCCCTGCCAAGGCATTAGGTGTATTAATTAAATGTCTGACCAAATATAGCAGGCTAATTTTTATTTATTTATTTATTAATAATAAATCTTTATTGTTCAGATTATTACAGATGTTCCTCTTCCCTCCCCCTCCCCATAGCTTTCCTCCACCTGGTTCCCACCCCACCCCATGCCCTTACCCCCTGCCACTGTCCTCATCCATAGGTATAAGATTTTTGTCCAGTCTCTTCCCACACCCTCACATCTCCTTACCCCCAAGAATTGTCAGTCCACTCCCTTTCTATGCCCCTGATTCTATCATAATCACCAGTTCATTCTGTTCATCAGATTATTTATTCACTTGATTTTTAGATTCACTTGTTGATAGATATGTATTTGTTGTTCATAATTTGTATCTTTACCTTTTTCTTCTTCTTCCTCTTCTTAAAGGATACCTTTCAGCATTTCATATAATACTGGTTTG